CAAGGCAGGACACTGAGTTGAAGACGAATTCATCCTGAAAGGGACTTCCGAAGATCATCTAGTCTAGATGATATTTTCACATTGTGAAAGTATTTGTCTGTCTCTTCATTAATTTGTGTTTTTTTCATCTGTTACAGGAGTTAAAGACGTGATTGTTTGGGGCAATATTACTGGCTGTAACTACATTGATTTGTCACACGCAAAGCTTTATGGATATGACTGTGCTATTCGGGGCCCAGCTAATTTTTCATGTCCTTTGTTGAATATGATTTATGATAGGTACAGTACAGATCTTTTTGTTTTTAGAGTAAAACTAAATAGCTGCTTTTAATCGATGTTTATCTCAACTGTTAATTAAATGTCAAGAAAGATTTTGTTGTCAAGATTTGTCTTTACTAGCAAGTGCTGTACATAAAGGAAAACGCAAGTTGAAGTACTCAGTCTGCAAAAGAAGTTGAGTAGTTCCTAGAGCTATACATAGCTGACTGTCTTGCCAACTTTGTTTATAACTATATTTTCCTACAGTGTATTTCTCTGCTATCATATAATGAGCAGCCTATAAGAAATAAAGTGAGTCCAGATAGTGACTTAGATGTCTAGTATGCATGAACAGACTTTGAAATAATACTAAACATAGATCTGCATCTTGAAGTTCCTGAATTCCATTGAACATATGGCCTGAGGGTACCAATAATGTCAGTTTCCCAAAATAGACAATTTATTTGTTAACATATGTAAAAAGGATGCCAGGCAGCTAGATAGCTTCTTGTGGAAAGAGAAGTAGCAGAGAAAGGATGGGTGGAGTGAGAGGGCAGCAGATGTCACATGCAAGCTGGCCTGGCTGTGTGGAGCTTCCACGCTGGTCTAAACGTAGCATTTACTGGACAGCAGGCACTTCTTGTGTTCTATACTTGTACTGTGCCTAACAAGGGGATTCTGGTTCACAGTTGCATTCCTACATAAGATGGTAATACATATAAATAATAATAATAATAAAGGTTATTATTTGAGTAAATTACCTAAGTTTCATAAGTAGTATTTGTTACCTTTTGAGGCACTTTTTTCTAGACCCTAATTTTTTTGTCTTTAAGTGCTTTACTTTCAGCAGTGAAGTTTGAACAAGTTTCAACTATTTTCTTCCCTCAGGTTTAGTTCTTTTTTCCTCTAGAAAACTACCTTTCCTGCAGGCACCTTAGTTTTTTCTTTCTTCTTCCCCTTTCCCCTCCACCTTTTTTTTGTTGATAGAGAATGGATCCATTCAGAATTTCTGTCTGCACTGAGTTCCCAGGTCTGTCGTTGTGTAGGAATGTTACCTGCTCATGCCATAGCCTCTGTACTGAGATACTGGTATCATGGCTCTCCTGGGGAGATTGTTTCTGTGGGAATACTTTCTAAAGGTAAATCTGCTTTTGTTTCACATGTTCTCCTGTAGCTTTCCCCAGTATGTATAATGTTATTTTTTAATCAAGATTTTTAATTTAATAAAAACTTGTAAAATAAATAATGATATAATAGGAGGCTGAGAGTTTGTTTTAGCATAAGAACCTCCAAATCTAAGCTCTCCAGAGCTTGTGATTTGATACTCACTTCTTACAAGCATCTCTTAGGTTAGTGTTGTCTCACTGCAGATTATCTCTTAGTCTTTTAGTTTAAGTGCTTTTCTGGTGTACGTGTTTTGCTCAAGGACTCTTTGTAGTTCTTAGAGCCTAGGCTATAAGTGCATGTTCTTGTGTATTTATGTGGACCAGTAAATGGAGCACTTCACAACAGGCATTTAAGGCTTGTATGAGATTAAAAAAAAAATTTTTTCCCCTTTGTAAGATGTAAAATTTTTACATGTACCTCTAACCAAAATACAAAGTTACAGTAAAAAGGGAACTTTAGTCTTTGAACTGTATACTGATAAAGGCAATCTCTGTTTATACTAAGATCTTACAGTTGCAGGCTTTTACAAGTCTGTAGGACATAATCTTGATGCTGGTGAAGATGTGTTTTTTAATCAGAAATATTAAGTTTGGGTCATTTTTTCCCTCTACTTCAGGTCAATTTTCCATTCCTGAAGGAATTGTCTTCTCCATGCCAGTGAGGTTCCAGAATGGTAACTGGGAAGTCATGACAGAATTAGAAATTAATGAAACGACCCAAGAAGTTCTGGGACGTTCAGCCCATGAGCTGACTCAGGTGATGATTGCTTGTATCTAGTAATATACCCATTCTGCCACCTATGGGTGCATTGTTAGACATACAAACTGCACACATGTGCTTATGCATGAGAAATACCAGGTGTTTATAAGTGTAAGTTAGTATTTATGTATTGAATCGAACAGATGACTGTTCTGTTGCCCCTAAAGGAGATGATAAAATAAATTTGCCTATGTAAGTGTAGAATTTGGACCCCCAAGTTCTGCAGTCAAAACAGAAGCATTAGCTTTAATTTAATGTTTCTTTGTTCTATGCCGCTGATGTTGGTTTTACTTGTGTGGTATTCAGAGCAGTTCTGTGCCAGAAGACATATCTTTTGGGATCATTGTCACTGTGACTCTGCATGAATGAAGGCCAGATTTTATTAGAATTAGGGATTTTTCAGAAAATACAAAATCAGTGAGCAGTAATTGCATCATGAACTTCTTGTGCGTGGGACAAAAATAATGTAATTTGACTAAGTATTAAAATACTAAAAAGACTGGTCCCAAACTCTACATTCTAGCATCAATCAGATTTTGTGTTCTTCAGTTACACTGGTAACATGTAAGGAATGTTTTATTTTAACATATTTTAAGTTTATGCTATAAATTACAGTGAATGAAAAGTATGGGTAATATTAAAACAGCTTTTTTTTTTCTTTTTCCATTCAGGAAAAGCTCGTTGCACTAAAAGAAATAGAAGAAGTGCATCCATATGGAGCTGTTAAAATCGCTAGTGAAAAATCTTTGTGTCAAGGTGGGTTTTTCTCCCCATAAAAGATGAGATCAAGTTTTAAGTGACAATTTAAGTAATGCATTCTTATTTTACGCTCCTTTCATTTAAAATGGATATAAAATCCTTCAAGAAGGAATATAAATAACAAGTGCTTGTCTGATGTATCCTGACCATGCCTGGGGCATGGTGATAGAAGGGGGAAGCCTGCATGTTAGCAACCTTATTTTGACAAGTTTCTATTGTGTCATTCACAGACCATGACTATAAAAGCTGAGCATAAATAATACATTTAGCATGACACATTTTATCTTAGGTCATTAGTGAATATAAAATCATTTTAAACCAAGTAACTATTACTAGAAAAGCACTTTCATCGTATGTCCTACTATATGTTTTTGAAGCTATTCTTTAATACACATCACTGTCCTTTACTCGAGAGAATTAGTTTAATTTCTAACAGAAAACAATACTGTAAATTGGAACTCAAAACTCTTGTTTTTCTGTTTGTTACAGTACCAAGCAGTTCATTCAGTATCTTTAGTCTATAAGCCAGTCAGAAGAAGAAAAGATTGAGACACCTAAAGACAATAGGCTAAAAAAAAAGATATGCCTACTTATGGTAGAGAACGCAATATCGGTAAGTGGCAGCCACATCTGCCACTTCTTCCAATTACAATAGATGATTTTAGAGATCCCTACATTATAAACTCTTAAGCCATTTTGCTTTGTTTGTTAATGACACACCAAGTATTTCCTGACTTAATTTTTTTAAATGCACAATGATATGAGTAATTTCAACTAAAAATCTGCAGAACAACTCCAATATCACTTACTAATATTTAGGAACATGTGAGAAGGCTATAGGCTACCTGATACTGCCACGTCTGAATCCACAATCTATTTTTCCCATGCAGAATAAAAACTCCACATCTTCCAAGTCTTTCTCTTCCACTTTTCCTACCCATTTTGTTTTCAAGTTCTCTATCCTTTTACGAGCAGATAAAGGAAAGAAGAATAGTTAATAAAAAGAAGAGCAGATGAACTTTAAAGTGTGGTTTACTGGTGTCTTCCTACATTTTCCCTAGTGTCACGTTCCCAAATCCCTATACTTTCCCAGTACTCTAGCAATTTCTTTCGACTGTTATGTACTACAGGCCTTTCTCCTCATTAGTTTTCTTTCTCCCTTCCTTGAAATTCTTGCCAGTTCAGGTTCAACGAGGCCAAGTGCTGGGTCCTGCACT